TGTTTGTACAGTTTAACTAATGGGTTCCATATAAAGATCTTTGCCAGGATACCATTTTTTTCCTAGAGCAGATAATACCAATTAATGGCATAAGAAATGAGGATTTTTCTGTCATAAGAAGAGTTCTCTTTTTATGTTGCTTACCTCACTGGGGTAGAATATAAATAGCATCCAATTATACATTACCTAGAACTGCTCCTGAATGATTGGACTGTTAGTTTAAATATAGCGAATAAGTAGGTTTTACTGTGTAATTACGTTCTTTCCATAACCTTTGTCGTGCTTGCAGTATGCCTCAGATTCGATGAGACGTGTTACTCTTCTCTTCATCTGGTAGCTTGATTAATTTGCTTGTCAGGTAACTTAGACATTCTGAAGCTTCTTTTCATTTTTATAGATGGGTGCCGAGTTATTTTCAACTAGCCAGACTAACTTTCTAGCAAACACCTACAGTACATACCCACAACTAAAAAAATACATTTCCTTGTATTACCACAGTTAGAGACAACAAGCTTAAGGCAGAGAAGGACATAAGTCTTTGCAAGGATTTTGAGTACGTTCCTTAACAAATTTAGTCGTTAAAAACACTCAGAAATAATCAGACTCATGTGATGATTGGACTCTTGCTGAATATGTTACTCTATTGTACGAATGACTTCTGAAAACTTTTAGTGCTCAAAAAAACATAACATTTCCAAATAATGGAGGAAAAAACTGAGCAGTGTGACAGTGTTAATGGCAAATTATTTTTTTCCTGGAATAATAATTATAATACTAACAATGAATATAAAATATTTAAGGCTACTGAGCAACCCACTACAAAATCAATAAAAACATTTCCATTAATAGAAAAGAGAGTGGGAGAGTATAGATTTCAGTTTGATGATTTGCAGACATTTTTTGAGAAACTTTCTGCCTCCATTTAGAAAAGCTAAAAACAGTTTAGATTGGTTTGCAACCCTTGTGTGTTCTGCTGGTCTGTTAAGAACTGTGTTGTCTCACAATTTTGATTCCAGAAAGAGAGTTTCATTGATTTCAAGATCATTAACTTGTCATCTTGGAGATTCACTGTTCTGCACCATGAATTTACAGCTGTGTGACAGGTGAAAGATAATTTAAACATGGATTTTGACGCTACTCTGTTTCACAGACCCAAATGAGAAAACGTTAAACAATCCAGTCCTGTGTGAATATTTCTGGGTTAATGGGTCTTCTACTGTTCAACTCCAAGCATTTAAACTTTAATTATACTCTGCAGTACACAGGTCTAGACAAGATCAAGACACAGTCAGGAATTACTATACATATTGTTGCTTATATACAGTATATATAAGCACAAACAAAGTATGCACATATATATCTGGTCATATATTATAATAGTACTGTACTCTTATAATTCAATAAGCTGTCATTAATAACACTCTTTTTGGGCACAACAAAGCAAGCTTGTCATTTACCAATCTTCAATTTACAATTATCAGGACCTTTGAACACTTGGTCATGCCAAAACACAGTTAACTCTACATGTGCAACCAAAATGAAGTAAAGTCTAACTCATCACTCATAACTCAATCATCAAATCTAGATGATTCATTCTCAGATGTTCCTGATAACGAACACCTTTTGCCAGAAATCAACAAAGATTTAGAAAAGATTGGTCTTCCTTAACTTTTCAGAGTTCTTTTATCAAATATCAGAGGTAATGGATACAAACACCTGCCTGTTCATTGCTTGCTGGGATAAGCTCCAGCTCCCCCACAACCCTGTATTGGATAATGGGGTTAGAAATGGATGGATGGATGGATGCAAATATGGCAAATAATATACGCTTTTGAAAAACGCAATATTTTAGAGTTTCAAAAGGTTTTAAAAAAAACTCTTCATAAAAGATTAATTATATAATCACCAGCAATAGACATGCAAGCTAATGTATCTGGATTGAGAACTGGATTAATACACTCCTCTTCTCTCAACTCAACTGGTTAGGGGTTAGAAAACAGAAAGTATAGATAATGGGTGAAGACTCAAACTGAGGAGGTGAAAACAGCGAATTAGTTCACTAAAGCCAAATCAGTGAATTTGGCCTTTTGATCCTGATTTATGCTAATTTTTATCAATGATGTAGAAAATAGTATAATTAGAAAAATAGTCATGTGAAAAGGATATGATAAAAAATGGGTGGATTAGAAGATATTGTAGGAATTGCAAAGAAATTAAAAAAAAAACGATTTAGACACAATTTAAGATTGAAAACACCTAGGAGATAATATCAATATAGCAAGTGCAGCATGATACATGCTATTGGCACAAGTATTTTCTATAAATCTAAGATGGGAAAACACTTTGCTTGAAGAAGCTACTTATGAAAAATGTGTTTATGTTAACACATAATTTGCAACTTTTAGACAATGTGGAAACACAATAAGAAAAAGATTACAGAATGATATGACATCTCTGAAAGTGTTAAAATGTATGTTAAAGCTGTGCAGTGCACTGTAACACCTCTTTTATAATACTGGTACAATTTTTGATACCACATGACAAAACAAAAACTTGCTGTGCTGGAATCAGTCCAGAGCAACCAAAAGATACATTCTTCAAAAGGCATGTCCCATACTGACAGGGCTAAAATAAATGAATCTTTTTTCCCTTCAACAGAGGACCACGAGATGTTCTGTTTCAAGAATTCGAAATTGTCAAAGACGTTGACAAAGTCAACTCAATGGACTTGGGAGAAAAACAAGCTGTAATCAAGCTGTTTCATCTGTAATCTTTTTATGTCCTTATGTTATCTGAACACATCCATAGAAACTAAAAATCTACTAAATCTACTACTATAAAATACATACACATCAGGATTAACTGTTAGCTGCAAATAAAAAAAAATGCTAAAGCTTCATTAGACGTTCGCCATAGAATTGTGTGTTTGCACAAGGAAGGAGAAGGTTTGAGTGAAAAGTATGGAACAATGCAAAATGTCTAAGTAGTGTACAAATATACATTATTTAAAATATTAAAATAGTGTGCTGAACATCATGGGATAGTGAAAGATTCATATTTCTGCACTCCATTATAAATAGATTATCATAATGATTAAATCTGTATCATAAATGTTGCAGTTTTGAATAAAACGTATGAAGTTACTGCATAATGTTTCAATGAATTGATACTTTTAACTTTTTAGGTACAGAGCAAGCCTCCATTTCCAATGTTAAAGGTTATTAAATCACACAAAAACAAAAGCACTGGACCATATAAAACAGAAATACCAAACTGTGGTAGAAATTAGTTCATTTTGGTTCCTTAAATGCACAGTGGAGCAGGGGTTAGTATTCCTGCCTCACATCACTGGGGCCCTGTGACCTCCTGGCCTAGGGGTGCTGTCTGCGTGGAGCTTGCATGGTCTCCTCATGTTCTTGTGGGCTTGCTCTGGGTGCTCATGTTCTCTCCCACAGTCCAAAGATGTACTGGTAGGTTCATTGGCTTCTGGGAGAATTGCACTGGTGGGAGTTTGTGTGTCAGTGTTTGTCTCTGTGTGTCTGCCCTGGAAGAGACCTTGTCTCGTGCCCATTGTTTGCCAAAGATAGGCTCTGGCAACCCTGAACTGGAAGAAGCAGTTAGAAAATGGGTGGATGTGTTCCTTAAATCCTTTCCTTCAAGTACTTGAACTCATTTTTGCACATTCTTAGACACTAGCATGAACACATAAAAGCAAAAATTCAATGTAAATGTATTACAGTACATAAATGTACAGTATGTATCACTTTTTCTGTTGCTTGTCTTAACAAGTCCGCCCTGTTTCATGGAATTTCATGTGATATGACATAATGCTATATAGAATTTCAACTTTTTATGAGTTCATCCAATGTAGTTGTAGGCTGTTTTTTGGAATTATTATTTAAGGTTCCAGGATTTTAAAAGCAGCATGAACATTTGGGACAAATCCCAATGCTGCCCATTTTAAAATGCATCTGTGCAAATGTGAGACTTGGCTAATCAAGATAACAGATTTCAATGAATATTTTTGTTTGTGTTTTGTGCCCTTTGATCCAACTTTATTCTTGAGATCAGGCCCCCTTCTGCAAGTTTTCAAAGCACCAAATGTATAGCCATGTGATTGGATTAAGCACGCAGACCAAAAGTTTAAAGCAGTGACACTGAGGCGGGGATTCCTCGTATACACTCAGTCTTCATAGCTACCCACAATTACATGAGTTTTTGGTATCAACCTACCTTCGTTATATAAACTGCACAAAACAATTCACTTGCAATAGGAAGGCTTATAATGTGAAAGGTTCACAATTACTTGCTTGTTCTTATAATACCATTGCTTCCATGAGAAGTCATGCAAGCTTATCTCTTTTTGCACTGTGAATCATTAATAACACTGTCAACTCTGCACTAACTGCTTCACACAGTGACTTGGGCTTTTGCAGAACTGCACAAGCAGTTACTCAGATCTGGTAATCCAAGACAATGAAGCTTCACACTGGCAGCTTAATCCTAAAGCCTTGACAAGAAGCTAGGGTGAAGGATAAAGATTTGCAATAAATACCAGCATTGTGGCCTTTTCTCACTCCTAATCTTTTAAAATGTATTTATACCAGCAAGAGCTCACACAAGAATGCCTAAAACAATCATTACTGTTTTCTGTAGTTATCAGCCGTGCCACGTGGTAGGTTAAAACCTAGGAGATCCTTGTCTCTAGATCTTTGTCAATTTTCTAAAACTTTGACCATCTTAAAAACAGGAGAGTGCTTAACACTACTCCATTCATTATGAAAGACAACAGAGCTTAGGCAACACAGCAAGCATATAATGTGCTAATGATTTTTCAAAATGAGATTTTAAATTGAAAAGCATAAATGCTACAAGCTATAGCTTCTTCTGAACCTTGACTTTGAAAGCACAAAAATACAGTTACATTGGAAGCAAGTTGAAAGTAACTGCAGCACTACAGTACATAGATTTTCTAAGCAAAGAGTCAGGGCACAGTTCAGTGAAGGTTTCTGATGAGTTTAATTTGTGACAAAAAAGGCCATTTACAGAGAAGGTGTATTCCCACAGCATCCTGGTTTCCCAACAGCATTACAGAGAATTCTGTACATCCGTGGTCATCCTATGATATTACTATGAATGGGTGTTTATGAGTGACCATTACCAGTGTATTGGAACCATACAGTAGATAACACTGTACTTCCACTTATTGGCACACTGATGTTATCCGTGTATTTTATAATTTCTGAAATTCCATATACAACTTTAATTTCTGAAAGATCTCTTACAACAGGTGTGTGCTTAGAATACACTCGTGCCCCTAGCCAGACTCAGATTTCTGCCTACTGAGGATAAAATTTAAAGTAGTCACAACATTAAAAATATACTGTGCATCAATAAAAACCTTCTTATGCCTGATCGCTTTAAGAACTAAATGTTTTGGAGTCTATTTGATTAATTGATCGTTCATGACTATGACACACTCAGGTGACTTGCATAAGCACCATATCATCTCATTAGTGAGACAGCTGATTGGACACAGGTAATGAGGCAATTTCACCTCTTTAATGTCAAGCCTTAAAAATTAACAATGTGTTTGTGATATTGTAACTGTACTGTATGTTGAAGCGATACAGTGGACTTATCAACAGTGGAGCCAAGTCCTTTTTGATGAATAAAGTATAATTTCTGAATACTCCACTCAAAGTACTTTACAAGTAATGGGGGCTCTCCTCTATCATCATCAATATATACCCCCCACCCAGATGATGGAAGCCAAGGTGCACACAGTAAGCTCACAACACATCAGCTATCGGTGGGGAGGAGAGCAGAGTGATGAAATCAGTTCAGAGATGGCTTACTATTTTTGAGTAACGTCCTAGGATTTTAAATGACCACAGAAAGTCAGGACCTCAGTTTTACATCTCATCCAAAGGACAGAGCCTTTTGTTTAGAATAGTGTCACTATACTGGGGCATTAGTACTCACACATACCACAGCATTCCCTACTGTACCCACCAACACCTCTTCCAGCAGCAGCCTTAGTTTTTCCCAGGAGGTCTCCCATCCAGGCACTGGCCAGGCTCGCACCTGCTGAGCTTCAATGGGCTGCCAGTTGAGAGCTGCAGGGTGATACAAGTGTACTAAATGTTGTTTACAAAACTACAATTCATGGGGAAGTCAAAGTGTCATGTTCTGGGCAAGAGCATTAAGCCACAACAGGACCCACTTGTAGTAGTTTACTGCATGACATTACATCGATCAAGTCCTGGGAATTCTTATTCTGGTTGCGTATCAACAGCTGGTGTGGAAGATGAGATTGTTACATTTATGCAGTGGATAACCTACTCACCAGAGTTGAGCCCCACTGAACAGTTGTGGGATGATTCCTGATATTGTTACTGAAGAAAGCATGTGGCATTTAGGGCCTTTAGGTGAGCAAGTGAACAAGGACGTGCATCTCCTGGCTCTACCAGAGGAATGGAGCAGCATTCTACAAGACATAATCTGCAACCTGGTACAAATCACGCGTCAAGGACGAACCAGTTGTATTGATTTCAGCTGTGACCACACACTATTAGCCTGTGACTTTCACAGTGGGCTCCCTGTGGATCCTAAATGTTCATCAGCTTAATGACTTTACCATAAAATTGTCATTTTCTGATAACTTAGAAGTGATGTTTCTTCAGATACTTAGTATATAAAACTGCATGTTTATAACTAGCAGATGGTGTATGCTGATTTCTCACAGTTCACAAACTTAATTTCTTGTAAAACAGCTCCACCACATGGATTGCCATTGACAGATAAGTAAAATACTAACAGATGACATTGAACAGATACAAGAAAAGCAGCCATCAGGTTTGTGTTCTAAGGATGTGTTCTGAGTTTATTTTTCTCATTTAAGACCTTGAAAAAAATCTAATATTTCACACAAGGCCAAAGAGCAGATCTGGGGAGCATGGCTATATAGCTTTGAAAACACTGCTTCACCCCTCTAGGTTGGAAGGGTGGCATCTGTGAAGAGTTCCAATATAATGTATCGATACATTTTTGAAGACAATTTAACCCTTCTGGAAATGTAAACGAAGCATTTCATTTTTATTGCCTACACTTTACCTCCATACTTGATAATATAACGTTCAGGGACTTGTGACTTCATTGCCCTCATTCTCTACGAAGTTATGCCACTGATTTTCAGTACATCACACTAAAGAGGGAAAGGATCCATTAAAGAAGCATTTCGGCTACAAGCAATAATGATTGCCTACAATGTCTTTAATATTGCTTGCCTAACCTGTCTTTTTCCATGCAATACATTTTGTCAGCAGAACTGTTATTTCTGAGAAGAGCAGATTAGACATCTTCTCCAACTACTTGACTTTTCCTTACTTTCACATAGCTGAGCATTTACCAGCAAGGCACAACCCTCGAAATGTAATGCAGTTCAATCAAATTTTACACAACAGCCCTTACAGAAATCTTGGACGTTTAATATCTCCACCACATGGTTTGAGGCAAAAGAATACATGAGAACCCCACGATTTGTCTTCTCCTTAGCAATTTTTGTTACATATTTTTCATGGCTTTATTAAAACCATTGATTTTTCCTGCGGTCAGGGAAGCTATAGTTAAGTATGTGAAAAATAACCCTCGTCCAAAGAAGCTGAAGAAAAGAATCCAAATAATGTGCGTGAATGATATGCAGACATCACTTGAAGTGCCATCTTTAATAACCGCATACAAGAAATAATCCTGTATTACGGGGACAATCTTTGGGTGTAGTTTTAGGCTTTGCAGACCAGGCTATGAAAGGCAGTTTCGAAACCAAACAGTTTTTTCACAATTTTATTTTTTTAGCAGCACTTCAGCCTTGTGCCTCTTTCTGTGAGGTGATGACTATAATTTCTTAATCAATGGGAAAGGCAGTTTTGTTTCATACTTAACTGGGGTACAAAGGGTCACCACAGTGTACAATGAGTAAAGGGAAGCATCGGAGAAAACAGGCACTGTCGAATACAGAAAGGCATCAGTGTAAATTGCAAACAAAGGGCTGATGACAACTCTCACAGATACCCTTAGAGGGATCAATGAACCTGACATCTTATTTTAGCAAGTGCTGGTATTTTTTTATTGGCGTAGTTTACTCGTCACAGTGCAAACAAAATCCCTTAGATTACATTTCTGAAACTCATGTAGTGCTCATTAAAGCTTGTTTAAATGAGACGAGAGGCACCACTTAGCATACTTTCAGCACCAGAAATACAAGTTCTGCTTTTAAACCTGATTTTTTTTTCCCATGGCTCATCCTGTTTGATGAGCACACTTTTATATATACTCTAGAATTTATTGCGTTTTTTTGAGGCAGTCATTTTTCCATTAAAGCTAAAAAGGTGTCTGATGGAAATTGGCAGTCTGATTTGTGAAGCAGTGCTTTTTGTCTACTCTCAAGGAGTACTCTGACAAGATACATCACAAGTGTGGATCAAGGAAAGAATGGCAATGAGAATTTTGAGGTTACTTAAGGCCATCTTGTGAGAGAACCGAGTCTGGAGATTGGGGGTAGTTCCTTTTCAGGTGGTTAAATATAAGCATATTTGAGAGGCTAAAGAGCCCTCAATCATAAGGTTGTATCTTAAAGCAAGTTATCAGAAGTTATATTCTCAGCACTTAAAAATAATCTCCAAACAGTTAAAAGATTTAGCAATCTTAAATAATAATATTGGTATTACTGCCTGCTGATATAAAATATTTTCAGATCTACAATTTACAAGTGAGATAAATTTCTAAAATATACAGATACTTTTTTTATCATACATGCTTTAAAATGCCGAATTTAGAAATGAACACTAATATCCATAAGTTACAACTGATGTCTTCTGTTTACTTGAAAATGTATTACAAAAAAATAACTCTAGTTTATATCAATACAGTAAGCTTTCAGCCTGGCATCCTTCCTGTTTTACTTTCTTGAAGTGTGTACAGATTCATTTGAACAAGATAGACTCCTTTAGATGCCTACAAATAGGAAACTGTTGGGCTACTATACTTTGATGTCACACCTTTGGTAAAATAAGGCATCTGTGCTCCTAAAAAAATGTACAACATACTGGAAAAGATTATATGTAATTTTTCTGCAATTACAGAAAAAAACTGAAACAGTAAAGACTTGTACAACACAGTAACATCCACAATAGATGCAAAATTCATGAATCATGGAAATTATCACAATTAAATCCAACGAACTGTGACCAGTTTCATGGCAAATAATGTAGACAAGGAAACTAAAAAAATAAATTAATTAAACAGGGTGTGCAAGGGTCCAAAGACAGAGACTGATGATAGCTCAGTCACCTGGTCTGGAAAAGCAGAACTTGAACACAAATACCAGTCTGAATCTAAGATACCCGGCAGTGTGTTAGAGACCCAAGAACCAGGCTATGTTAGACTTTTAATATACAGGATTTCAAATTCATAGAAGGAATCTGACATCGTTTGAAGAAAACTGCGAGAAAGAAAAGAGAACGCAGGGGTAGCCAAAGAGAGAGCTCTAAAGTGGCTTTGTCTTCTATTGCCCTTGCACTTCCATCATTCACATTCCTCCAGTCTCTACCAATCCTATACTTGTTTCACACTATTCAACTCCTATGTGCTTTATGCCGTTTTTCTTTTTTTTCCCCCCATCTCATCTTATTTATATTTACACCTCCTAGCTATAGATTCTCTAAATTACACAATACTTAAAAATCTTTTAAAATTTCAGCTATGTCTGCACAGGAGAATAGTATTATTTATAAAATACAACTCACAAACTCAGTACATTATGTAGCTAACAGCGCCCATACCTGTCCCTCCCTTCTTAACTCCTTTTCTTCTTGCCAGTTATCTTACATTCCATCTCTGTACACAACCAATACAAGATATTACTATATACAATTATTTTAAGGGCAACATTCTTTTTATATATTTCGCTAATCGGAACCAGTGAGACATTCGCTCTGGAAGCCTTCAGTCTGTTTGGGATGCAGTCGACAGCACCTGGCCCGTGCTGGGCACACTTCGCCCCACGGTCATCAGCAGCTGCTGTTCTTGAATTCTCCGTTCTCCGTGATGGACAGCTTGGTGGGGTTTGTCGGGGAGATGCCATTGCGGATGTTCTGCACGCTGTAGCGCTCCTTCACCTGCGTCAGTGCGCTCATGAGCCGGGAGTTGGCAGCATCTAAGGAGCTAATCCTCTTCTCCTAAAAAAAGCAGCAAAAGGCAGGCCTGTCACAACCCCCGCGCTTTGTGAAAATCTGTCGGGTTTCAGTGCTTGAAACAGGATCCATGATGAGCTCAATGTTTGTCATTATCACAGCTGAAAGTCAGCCTACATTTCCATTCCAATGACATGGAAGGTGGTTTGCTGTAGGGCACCTATGAGTATAATAATTTCAAGCACTTCCAACATGACTTAGAAGTGATCTCTAAAGTTTGACACTTTGTACTACATGAATTTATTTTAAAAATGGCAATGAAACAAAAATACAGAATGTTCTTTTTCCTTTTATATTTAAGCATTACAAAACGTTTTACAATGGCTGCTCTCAACAGCCACAAAGAACCGCATTTATCATGTTAATTCTCTAACAATGAAGAGCAAGTTTCTGCTGACTTGCAAGAAGCACATGAGGTGCAACCACCACATTTTCTACATACACCTGTTACAAAGATCTTTTACTGTCTGCCAAGAGCCCATTCACTTTGATCCTGCTTGGATGACTCGGGAAGCTGGGTGCTATATATAATATATAAAAAGCAATTTTTCAATTAGCTCAGGCTCCGAGAGGATCTGTTGTCTCAATGGTGGAGGACTGCATTGCAGCCCTTTGAGAGGCACTTGCAGAATGAGGATAAAGTCATGATCATTTCACAATCCCTTCAGGATCACTTCTAGTCACTGTCTACAGATGATGCACAGAATTATTTTGGTGTTCATCACGCAATCAATAATGAAGTAATGCTCGGATTATGTTTTTCTCATAAAAATAAGAGTGGCCTTGCAGCCATTAACAGAAATAAACAGCATGGCCATACCTGTTGCCTGCAAGGAGCTGCAGGGTAGGGAGAGGATGGAAAGGACTGGACAGACAAATGCACTGAGGGGGTCTGAAGCAGCCAAAAGCTATAGCTAACAGGTGCAGTCTGATATGGCGCACCTCTTCCACACCCATTCCAGCTCAGGACAGTGATTACACAGAGCAACAGAGAGAGGGATAATTCTGCATCCACCACTCTGACTCTCTATACAGTCAGAGTATAAGAAAGTATAAAAGAGTATAAAAAAACAGTATAAAAAAAGCTCTTCGAACCCTAAACCTAAAAGGTAACTAAAAGGGAAAAATCTATAAGTATTATGCTTTTTTTGGGCTACCACAGGTGTTCCAACAGGACCAAAAAGCACAGCTAAAGCTACAACACAAATGCTCCGGCTTTGTATGAACAATCCAAAACAAAAATGTGCACTTTATACAAAAGTTTAAAGTGAGATACCTGCTGTCAGCTCAAATGATTATGCAAACTCTAGCATAGATAACACCTTATATAAAGCTTCAGTAGGACTTTATCAAGCAGCTTAATATGAAGATCTTAAAAATAATATGATTACTTCAGCAAGCTCCACGGACAGTTAAAAAAGCATGCTGATATTTAAACTGGCGTTAACCAAATTACACTGGATGCATAAGCCTGTAGTACAACAATAGGGATCCCAATGATTTAGCTACCCCAGTGTCAGAGACAGTCCACTAGAGCTGCTGGAATGGGTGGAGAACACCAGCACGCTTGCCAATGTCTAGCAACTGTTGATCTAGAGAACCGATCTACTTGCCTGCTTGCGTTACATCAGCCCGATTAATGACCTGGAATTCAACACAGTAAGCAAGTCACATGTAGCACTGAAAATGGAGCTTTTATTAAAAGAATCAGCAGGGGACCATGTTGTAGAGCATGCTCATCATCAGGCCATGCTGCCAGGGGAGAGGTGACCTAGAGAATTATCCCTTCAAAGTCAACTGCCAGAACTGCACTGAAGTGCAATGCCTCGTGTGACTAATCTTTCAAGAGCTGCAATCAAACATTTCAGAGAACCACTCAGTCCTGATTTCATTAGTAATACTGTATATAATCAGAAAGAAATATTGGAACAAATATTCGAAATATTGGAAAAAAAAACCTACAGTAGAATCTGAACTACCAGTTCGCTACACATCCTATGACACTAAGGTACCAAAACAGTTAAGCAATACAGAAAACAGTATAATCCAAAAAAACATGCAAGTGGAAAGACCAGGGCACATCTTTCTGTAAAGTCTAAATTCTCCTTGAGACTTACTTTCTTCACGCCTACATGTGTCACATTTGCATCTAAACAATCAGGTAAATGACAAAGGGGCATCACTTTGAGACAACTCTGGCTGGATCCTGACAGGAGTGTCTGTGGCTCAAGGGTGAGGATTGTTTCTCTGTGCTTCGAGAGGCATCATTAGCAATAAACATCAAGACCGAAAACGCTGCTGATGTTCAGCATCCATTTGCAACATTCAAGGCTCTGAGTACAAATAAAAGTGCAACATGTGTTGTTTTTCTAATTTGACTGAGAAGCATGTAATTACTTTATCTCAATTTTTATAATTTTTTTTATAGTTTGCTTTTTTTAAAAAGGGGTTGAATCACTGAATCATTACCCATAAAATGAAAGAAATAAATATTCTTATAATATCAACAGAAGTAGAAAAACTGCATGAATAGCATTTCATCATTTAAGACTAGCTTTGTCATGCTGCGGAGAAAAAAATACTTTAAAGATTTACAATGCCTCTTAAGCTTGTTGTTTGGATATCTAACCAAATATAGGCAATATGAAATTTAAACAAATGAAAACGGCGGGCATGGCCTGCATTTTATTTGCAAGTCTAACTTTTAATAAGGTAAATATGTCTGGAAAAATTATCTGAATTCTGAAATTCTGCATAATTTAAGTCCCTTTTAGAAATGTAGCTACCTGAGCCATTAAAATGTCACAGCACAGCGCAAAATATTTTCATAAAGAAGGCTTCATAACAGTTTTTGGGTGATAATAGCCCCACCACCAGCACCACTCCATGCATTTTATCTTCTCTTACCTGGGCATCTATTATTTTCTGTTTGGCATCTATAACTGCCTGCATCTCTGCGTGATCTCTTTTCAGCTCCTCTTCCACGGCCATCAATCTGCAAAATGCAATTTGGTCTTTACTCAAAACCCGCTGCTTTAATTTCATACGTCACGCACAGTCCAAAAACAGTCAAACAGTGAACTTCAGCTACTACCCTACGGACCCCTCTCTCACTCCGTTTCAGTATTAGAACAGGAGGATAAGATCGGCTCTTTTGCACCACCCAGTGGACAAAAAGGATTTGCTAAGAGACAGTTTGAACAGTAAAAAGGCAAGTTTGCATGGCTCCACTTGTATGTTTCAAACAGCAAAGAGCCCATTGAAATGCATATGGCAGGTCCTACAATCGATCTAAGGCAATTAAAAACCCATTAGCCTTATGTATAATTGGAACACTATACACTGCGTGGGCCCGGACGGCACCTGCAGATGATGCTCTTCATCTGGGAGTCCTTCTCCTCCTGCTGCCTCCGCAGCCTCTCCTCGCTGTCCTCCAGCCGCGTCTTGTACTCCAGCAGGAGCTTCTGCATCTGCTGCTCCTGGGCCAGCAGCCGGCGCTCGTACTCCTCCAGGCGCCGGCTGGACACGCGCAGGCGCTCCTTCAGCTTGGAGATCTCCAGCTCGTACTGCCGCGGGGGGGGAGAGAGAGAGAGAACGCCGCACTCAGCATAGAAGTGCCATGAATGGGAACGGACAGGTTTCCTCGGCCTAGGATTCTCTGTGGGGTGGCAAAGCGGGTAGCACCTGTGGCCCACAGCTCCGGGGCCCTGTTTTCCATTCCATCTTGGGAGTGCCTGTGCGTGTGGAGTTTGCATGTTCATGTGGGTTTACATAATGTGCTCCCACCTTCCCAAGATGCAAAGCTTAGCTGTGATTGATTCTTCTTAAATTGCCCCTCACCAGTGGGGTTGGTACCCAGTGAAACCAGTACAATCTACAGTACTATTAAGAACAATGGAACCACAACAGATGGAATGGACTCCTCTCATTTGGGACTTTCTGATGTACTTAGGTTTGAAGTTTAGCGCCTCCTTAATTTCAAGTAAGTCCAATTAGCTGTTAAGCTAAACTGAACAACACGGGCTCCTCTATGACATTGGGAGAACTCTTTGGCTCTGATGATTTTTTTAACACTAACGTCTCCACTATTCAACACTTTCATTTTCTTCTCAATGAAACGCAAAAAAAGCCCATTGCAGGAAGATGTACTTTCTCAGGTTGAACGCCGGGCTTCCTCTTGTATTCTAATTAAGTGCTATAACACTGCTGCACTCATCAGCACTTAATCCTCACTCCAGCTTTTGTTATTTTAATCACAACTGCCAGTTTTCTATATGATGAAATAATAAGCTATCAACAGTGAAAGGGAAATCCGGTAGCAAGCACTCCTGTTTACAATCAATGTACTTCAAACACTTCAAAGACACTTGGCTTCATTACTGGACTGCTATTTAGAGACACCTAATGTACAAAATTAAATGTGAGCAAACGAATTCAAAGAGCTCTTACCTTTTCTGCATGCTTGCTGTCTTCCCTGCTCTGTTCCAGCTCATCTTCGTCTTCGTACTGGCCGTTGTTCAGGACCCAGGCTGCCGTCCTCTCCACAGGAGACATGGTGATGGACTCGACAGGGGACTGCACCTGAAGCAAGGACATTGCACTCCGTTCTAGTCAGCGCTAACCAACCTTGGATTCTTGCTGCAGTAGGGCTCTGCTACTGACAGTCTGCGCGGCTATAAGTCAAAGCCTACTAGACAATCACGTGAGGCATGTGGCGTCTTTCGTGAGTTTACAGTGAGCCACAAAACTGACATCAATTCGTAGGAGGTTCTATACCTTCTGCTCAGCTGATATTGAAAGTATCAAGCACAGCAGTTAGAATATCACAGTGGGTGGTTTCTCCATCCTTTGATGTGAAGCATATTAGTTTATTCCTTTTTGGGGGGAAGTTTACAGAACCCACAGAAAGACACTGACTCATTATGGGCACCAGGGTGAAAGGGAAAGATATTGTCACGAATACATAAACATTTCCCTGATGGTTTAACTGAGGCTCACGCTGTACAGTGTTACCAGCTATTGGCAGGTGGACTGTGAAAGCCCACACAAGACGTAGTTTAACCACTGAATTCTATCAGATTCACAGCAGTTTATTTTGAATGGTTTGCGCAACAGATCTTAACTGCACTATTAATATCTCCATACTAATCACCACAACGCACCTATGTTTTTGCCCAGAAAAGTATATTAAAAAAATTATACTGAACATCAAGAGAAAGAATTGATAACTTCCAACAAATACACAAAGTGATCAGGAAAATATTTTTTTTTCTACTAGATGAATAGACATTTTAACAGACAAAGGTAAATTCTATGAATTAAATTCAAGATTAACATTTGTCATCAACTGGCTTGATCAACAAGGCTTCTACTATAAAGGTCACAGGCTGGTACTTTGTGGCCACGGTGGGAAGCAATACCGACTGTACATATACCACGTTTTGGACCAGGTTTCACACGCCGTGTTGTGGGATTCTGTCCCATTTCTCCAACAGAACTTGGATAGCATGTCTGTTCACTGGATTCTGAGCCATGATTCCGAACACCATCCCAGCTGATCCCACAGATGTTCAATTCAGCAGCAGCAGGAGCAGCAGCAGCACAGGGCAGCAATCAAGGGTACTGAACTTATAACTGGAAGGTTGTAGGTTCAAGTCCCAGTGGAGCTGCTGTTGTCGCATTGAGAACGTACACTGCCCAGGTAGATATCCAATAAACTACCCAGCTGTGTAAAGGTAGGTTGCTTTGGATAAAAGCCAAATAAATTAGCAAGCAGTGGGACATCTGGTAAAAAGGGAATCCATTAACTGTCATTAACTGTCACTTTCTCACCACTTTTAGCTACACGGCCTGAATGACCCCCTGTTGTTTGTGCCCTTATCTCTTATAATCCATATATTTCATTTTACTAAAAATCTACATGCATAAAGTTTTCTTGGCACTAAGAATAAATATGGAAAGAAATTACAGCAAATCCAACCTATTTACAGTGCTAACAAAGCCCACATCTCACCCCCTACACTTGTACCTAGTGGGTCTTAAATACTCATGGAAATTCCAGCACGTACTGTCATGGTAAAAGTAGACTGAGGTGAGTAACAGTGGGTAACAAATATTAAATGACAAACAGCATCAAGCAGTGTGGGCTCAGCACAATCTTCGACTAGGATATGACACAATAGCTCAAAGACTCACTATTTCTAGTGTGGATCCCCACAACCAAGCATTCTTCTGTAAGGTTTTAATGTCTATACTGTAGTATGGTATGTTTTTAATATGTAAATATAAGCTAGTGTTAATATAAACTTTAAATTAAAGCTGCTGCTTCATGACTATCTTTAAATAACTCTTATCCTTGTAATGAATTGTAGTTCCTCAGAATTTGATGGAAATTATTAGATGCAAAATGTTCATCATTTACCTGCTTATGTCTGAGCATTGTGACATATCGATGTTTTATGCTACTCCAACTGCTGACGGCAACAAGACTTTAAATAGCAATTTGTGCAAAATGTGCCAACTAAGTTGAGGAATGACAAATAATAACAGAAAACTCTTTATCACACAAACAACAAATTTATATTTTACACCCAATCAATGCACGTATGTGTTTAGAAAAATAAAGACGGGGGAGTTTTGTCACTGATTAAACATTACTGATAACCATTTTGATCATCTGACAATGTGAAATACTTAACTGACTAGTGAATAAGCATTAAATCACCTTATTGGGCAAAGAGGATTAAGTGATTTAACCTATTAAATGTCAAGCATGGTAAAATAAAAAAAATCAAGAAAGCACTAAAAGTAAGCAACACGTCCTGCTGATCGGGAGAACAGTGCCTTTGTGCCATTATTCGAACTTAGTCCAAACTTAAGAGACACAGTTCCCCTATGATATGGCTCAAGGCTTCCCAGATCATAGCCTGACATCTCACCATGATCGAAGGGGATGGTCTTACCAGGAATATCTAGCTGCTACAGAAGTTCTCCTGTAGTGAAGGATGCCAACCTGGCTACACCGTGAGCTCATCTGTTACCCTTTCCGCAAGCTCATCCTGACATGACAACATTCCAGAAGGACAAGGCATGCTGTCATACCGCTCTTACACCAGCTGTTTTATGAGGTAATAATGTAACAGCAGTGTCATTGATTTACCTACTCGCCAGACTTGAGAGCTACAGAGAATTGTTTAGATGCCAGATCTTATCTAAGTCTCAGAGACCAGCGTATGGACACGTGCTGCAAAAAGTCATTTTCTTGATCAGAACTTGTGAATGTCTTTGCATATAAAAGTGCTCAGCTTCCAAGTATTTTTCAATTATTTCTATTATAAGAATTGAACTGAACGCTTGCACAAGCATCAGAAACGAACCGGCGGACCGGCCCCTCTAGAGTGAAGGGAGGTTTCTGTACCTGCTGGGGCGGCTGCTGTTTATGGACCATCCTGGCTCGGGGTACCGGGCTCTCCCTGGAGGACGTGGACTGCCGCGAACGGCTGCCGTTGTGGGGGGAGGGCTCCTGCTTGTAGGGGCCCCCCGCTGCGCTGCTGGTGCTGCGCAGGGAGGCGCTGTGAGGAAGCGAGCGGGGCGTCCGGGCCCCCCCGCTCCCGCTGCGGCTCTGCTGCTCGACCCGCACGATCTGGGCCGTGCCGGTGCTGTTCTGCCTGGGCAGCGCCGGGGGCTGGGCGGCGGCGAGCCGGTCGGGCGGGGCGTGCCGGCGGGGGGCGCAGTCCTCGCTCTGCGTGCTCCGCCGGCTGAAGTCCTCCATGCTGCTGTTGGAGGGGCCGCTCAGCTTCCCCGTGGCCGCGAAGTCCTCCGAGTTGCTCCGGCTGCGGGAGCTCTCGGTGCTGAGGTTCTCCGAGCTGGAGTCCGGGCCGCAGGCCGGGTGCGGGGGGTTGCTGAGGTGGTAGACGGGGTTCTGGAAAGAAAGGGGCTGCAGGCTGCCCTGCTGGCTGAGCGCGGGGTGCAGGGGCCGGCGGATCTGAGGAGCGCTCTGGGGCAGGACCTGGGCCTCGCGCAGGGACGTCTTAGACGCGAGCTGAGGGTAGAACTGGTGCTGGCTGTGAGGGTGTGGGTGGATAGAGATCTGGCTGCCCGTCAGCCTGGCCGGCACGTCGTGGATGGGCAATCTCTCGCTGTGGACTATGTGAGGGTCCTGCAGATCCATGAGCGATATGCTGCGGCCGTTGGGCAGAGGGTTCTCTCGCTCCTCCTTGTCCGAGAAGCTCATGCTCTGAGTGGAGGACTGCTGCCCCAGGAGAGGGTGCTTGCTCCGCACGTGTCCGTCCGCGTGCTCCTGAGTAGGACCCCGCATATTGTGCAAATCACTACAACAAGAGACGAAATGTCAAAATAAATCCTGCGGGAGGGGAGTTTTGTAAATGTGCACAGGCATGCAGGCTTATAAATGTGTGGACAAAATCTGAGTCTCCCTGTTTATTAAAAGTTTATAAGTCCTGGACAACAGATCATGATATTCACCACATCAAGGACTTTAAAACCATTAAAAAGCATTCTAAAATTGCCAAAAATAGTTGTTTTGGGTTTATTTTCACCCTGGTTGGATTCCCATTAGAATGGAGGATTTGGAACAGAAGTAAATAATGAATGTCAACTGAAATGAACCTACAAACACAAAAATGCATTTGTGCATGCCGGAATGACTATAAATGTGAGGATAACATCTGAGAAAATCAAATGAAGGTCTTGGGTTGTGGGGACTGATCAGGTTGCACTCATTGGGCAAATAACTTTTATAAGAAAATGTAAAACCCAAAAGGGGCCCATTTAGCCCATCTATCCCAGCTGGAACTTAGCAGCTAATCAGACCTTTCTTGAAAAAAGCCTGGACATCTGCTTCAAAAACATGACTGGTTAGCTTGTTCCATACTCCCAAAACTCTTTCAGTAAAAAGTACTATCCGTTCTCATTTTTAAACATACTTCCAGATATAGCTTCCACTTACAGTATGTCTTCTGCCTCAAGTTTCACTGTTTAATCTGACATGAACCGACATGACATTCATAAATGCCAAGGATGAACTGAATACCTGGATCAGGTCCCCACATAATCATCTGATGAAGACTAAATGGGTTCTGTTCCTTCAGACTGTCAGTGCAGCACATTCCTTTATGGCCTGGAAAATATCTGCTTGCTCTCTCTATACTGATTACAGAGCACCAATATCATTGTTATGATGTAGTTAATGGAACTGTACATAATAGTCTAAACTATTGCATTCTACAACTTTAATCACATTGGCTAAAAGATGCACATGAGGTGTAAACAATACTATTTGGAATAGTTTATTACTGTCTGTTTGTGACACTGTAAACATCAAAACTTGTTTATGAATTTAATTTGCTGCTTCAATAGTGTTTGCTAGCCTTCCTATTTTGGTATTGTTTGCAAACTTGACTAGTTAACTAACTATAACTATATCAGAAACGTGATCATTGATATAAACCAGGAAACTGTCTTCATGGTACAGATTCATGAGGTACTCCACTAATTACCTCACCCCATTTTGAGGGATCAAAACTTATCTACAGTTTTCCATTAACCAATTCTCATTCCAAAAAAAAGCATTTCTTCCCAATGTCTACCGCTTCTAATGATAACTACTTATCGTATTAACTGGAACAGTTGCATCAATAGCTTATGAATGACATTTTGTTCAAGTACAAATGGTAATCACACTCTAAAGACTGCATGCTTCTGGTACCCCAAACTCTTTATATTAATATTATATCTTCTATATTAAAACTATTAAATGTTTTTCATTCACTACCTATTCCCTTCTTCCTTAGTGAACACCTGAAAAACTCGCTTAGTATCTAAGACATTTCCTCATGCTGTCTCAGATGCATTTTACTTCATCTTTTATTATTTTCTACAATAGTACTCAAATAAGTTATTCTTTTTATCTCCATTGCAATAGTTGTTTTACTTTTGGAATTTCTAATATTCATTGTTATGCACCTTGTGGCATCTTCTTCAAAGATTTAGTTCCAAAATCATTTAGGGTCTACCTTCACCCCTTGAAGAACTTAATTCCAGTGGAGTAGAGAACAGGAAATCTATGAGTCAATGGAAAGTCCTCACTACCACAGAAGTGAAAAGATCAAAGGTACGTTCCAACTAGTTCAAAATGTTTCTTATTCAAGGTAATTATGTAATCATCTTGTATATCATAAATGTATCCTGTTTACAAAACTAGTTTTACTTCAATTCAATGAAGGGTGAGTGGCCAAGTGTATTAATGTTTTTAAACACCCAACATAAAATTTAAGCTGTTAACTCAAATGCTTCCATCTCTTCATGGTAAGAACCACAGAGAGTTTAGAGCTGGACTTTGTACTATCCAGAAGGAAACTGAAATTTCATTTATAGTGGCAAAAGTGGTCTACTTTTCAGTTACAACTACATTTTAAATTGTTTCACAAAGCTGCAACCAGTCAGTGAGACAGAAAAGCCTTTTTAAGAGGGTTGACAAGTAGTACCTGTCCGATGGATCCTCAAATATCCTTTGCAATCCTGAAGAGACACTGCCACTGATATTCTGGGAGGAGTTATGATCCTGAAACCGCCTAAGCTGTTGCTGGATGGGAGTTGGGTTTGACAGAGACTTGGTGATGTCACCCAGAATGCGTGGGAGTGGTCCAAGCTTCGCCACAGTCGCCTGCAGGAAGGAATTTTCACCCTGTGTTGCACGTTACCATGGCAGCAACATCCCCCCAGTTTTCAAATGGGATGGTAGAGGGCGGAGTATTGTTGGTGGTTGGTTCGTGCGAGCGGTACCATAATGCATTGGTTCAGGGCAGCGTAACCATGGAGACACAGTGTGGAAAAAAGGAGGGGGACAAAGTGGCAGAACAGGGTGAAGGAAGGGGTATGAACAGGAAAAACAAAAGGAAAAGAAATTAGGAATCAAAAAAACATGCTTCTAAATAACTATAGCCATTCCAAACCAAAACACACCATGCAAAAAGCCAGCTACAACAGAAGATGGTAAGCATGAATTCTAAAAAAGGAATAAAACTTCTAATGACAAGAATAATAACAAAACGACTAAAGAACTTTGGGTAAATGGTTATTATGTGCCAAGAACAGACATGCTTCTCAAGTACAGGAGCAATGCGGGATGGGGATTAGGAAAGTTGGGTAAGGGGTTGTGAAGCACCAAATACAATGTGGTCAAAATGTTTAGATTCAGAATACACCAATATAGTATCTGCCAATTAGAAAACATCCCACATTAACCTGCAAATTAAAAAAAACACCTCAAAGAATAAATCAGCGATTCTAATGATTTTTAGAAAAATACTAGAACTCACGAATTTCCCCAAGCGGGACATTATAGCTTGAACATATTTGATAGATTTGTAACTAGTACTGAGCAATGATGTTTTCATAATTAATGTCGGCCTAAGAAAGAAATCAAGCTTTTACTATTTATAACAAAATAAGCATCTCTCTCTCAAAATCAAATTTATGCACTTCAGTTCACTGTGTATTTTATCTAGCCTTATTGATGTGGAGAAAAAAAGTCAATTTTAAGTGTGCAGTCTAATATACTGTAACTAATTTTAAATTAACAAAATTCATACACAAATCCCTAAACTGCAAAACATGAAACTAATCTAATTAGAACATTACAGTACACTGTGGAACTTAAATTATGCAGATCGAGCAGAAGAGGGTGCTATTTGATCAATTATTTCAGGTCGGATTTATCACAGTGTTCACAAACTGAACACGGTTGATATGAATACATGTACAAGCTGATAGAATTTACAGTATAACAATATCTCAATTTTCCCCACAGCATATTGAAATGTTTTCTGTATCCAGGTGAATTTTAGTAAAGGAAGACAAATTCACACCCACACAAACAAACACAGAAAGCAATGTGTAAGGGTTGAACCAGGAGATTTCCTTCGCTTTTTAAAGCCACCCAAAAATATGATGTTAGTGCTACAATTCGCTCCAGCCTGTACCTTATCCAGCTGAGAGACCACCTCCCACAGGAGCGAGTGCAATACAGAGAGCTCCCGGCCCAGGTCTATATAACCCTCGAACCCTGGCGTGTTGGATATTGTCTCTGGGTTCGAGATCTCCACCAGGAATCTCTTCATCCCAGCCCATTCATGCTCCAAGAAGTCATTCATGAAGGCCATGTATTCTTCTTTGTTACCAAACCTAAAAAATAAAACATAGTTGATGGCTGTTTCCATATTTCCAACACGCATAGTACTCACAAACACAAATTGTATAGATGGTGTCCACGGGACTTTAAAAGAGGATGTTACAGGATTATACCAATAGATCTCCAACTTCATCCAGTGAAGGTACAGCTATAATGAAACTTCAGTGCCGATCAGTTTAGCATTTAAAATGGTATAAAAAACATAAGCGACCGGACATTAAAGTGTCCGTTCGAGTGTCGGCAGGGACGTACTTGGCGAAGTTGGCGAGGTTCTGGATGACTTTGGCGATGAGCGTGAGCGTGCGGGAGGTGCGATCGTCAGGGTACTCCTGCATGAGGTTGAAGAGGCTGGGGGACATGATGGCGGGACACAGGAAGCGCAGGAAGAGGGAGGCGCTGATGAGGCGCTCGCTGATCTCCTGCTTCCCCCGGTTCAGGCACTGCTGCTTCCAGGCGGCAAACACTTCCTTCAGCTCCCGCGGGAAAACGCTGTCCAATACAGAAAGCCGTCAGTCAGTCCCACCAGGGAAGATGTTGACCTCGTCTCTAGAATTCGCATGTTCATTGGTACAGTTTTTTTGTTCTTATTTTAGTGAGTCTCAAGAGAATTTGATTAAGTGCAGCATGTTTTGAATTCTGTGGTTCCTTGTACAGGGACGATATGGTCATGTACAAAGTTTAGCCAAAGCAAGAGGCAGTGGATATTTCTTTCATCTTCACAAAATGCCAAATCATAATTGTGCATTGCAGAAAGGAATGTACTGCTGTACACCTTCTATAGACTAGTGGTCTGAAAACCTATGCACTTTGTCTAAATGAGATACAAGACAATGACGAATCTGAAGCTCCTGTCATCTTACCAGTAAGAGTTGATGATCTTGCAGAAAGCCAGCTCGCAGCACATTTTAAGGTTACTCTGGTGCTCTGCAAGTTCACTGTTGGAACACTTACTGGGGTCCACCTCACAGTTTTCATCCGACTCATACAGAGCTTTGATAAACTCCCCTGGAAGACCACAAAACACCTACAATGAACCACACACTAAACAGAACACTTTCTGTCCTAAAGGCTTCTAAGTTCTTTCTATGTTTCTGCCTTTCATGACTGTTCTAAGGCTGCTCTTACCCAATGCATCATGGAGGTATTTCTGCCCAACCAGCTTCAGGTACTCCTCAATGGCTTTGGTTGCCAGGGTATTTTCCCTGAAGATCAGAACATCATGATCACCACAGCGATCGACCTCAGACATCACCAGGTCTGTAAGGAAGTCCTGCCACAGAAAACAATGAAGCAGAGTCTCTTTATCACATACAACCATTCTTGAAGTCTGAAATCTTGCAAAGGCGATAAATTCAGCTTGTGATTAAGAAAGTACTCCTGCAACAAAGTCATAAGCCTATGAAAAAATAGATTTGCAATTAATTGTAGAACAAGATTGTTACATCTGTCCCTGAACATTAGCCAGGACAACCTGAATGATCTAAAATATGTGCAGCCCTTCAAAGTAGTGTCGTTTTATCTACCTTAGCCCTTCCTGTGCTTTGCAGGATGTGAACCAGAGCACAGGCCATCTCCTCTTTGTTTTTGACACTTATGACTGGCTCCAAGACAGAGCACAGCATGGTGTAGTTGTTTGTGATGAACTCTGCAAACTCCTTGTACTGCTCCATAGGGAGGATTGAGACGGTCTGGAAACGCGACTTAATCCGGATGGAGGGTCCGCCTGCCTTCCCCTTGCTGGTGGTGGGCATGCTGACTGGGTACCACTTCTCCATGAACTGCCGGCCGGTCACGCTGCTCATGGGGATGTTGACTAGCCCCACATAGTTGTTCTTATCCTTCTTTTTCTTCTTGTCCACCTCCTTGTAAATGTGCACTGTGATGCTGCGCACCAGGGGCAGGCTGTAGAATTCAAAGTGTTCACCCCAGAAGAGGTTGTCTGCTTTGGTTTTGCTGGTGGTGCGGGCATACAGAACATCATCCAGACACAGCTCACAGAAATACTTCTTCTTGGGGGGCAGGTCTTTGGCTTCTATAATCCACAACCGCAGTACATTCTCTGCTCTCCGGCAATTGTCCTAAAGAAACACGATGAACAAAAACACTTAATGTAACTCAATATCACAGTTGAAAAGCTGAATAAGACCTAGTTATGTTCAGTAAAAGTCATATTGTATGACAAAGAGAACAACAACAACTACTCCTAGCCAACAAAAAAATATTCAACCCTTTAACTGTATCCAGGTCATAAAATAGCATAATCTAAAAAAAAATATTATCTTAAACTTCTTTATATCATTGTATCAGTCAGTTTTTTCTTCTGCTTTCTTCTGATAGATTTCTACACAGTGGAATCAATAGCAAAGAAGATGAAAAATAATAACCGTGGCTTTTTTCTCTTCTTGCATCCTGGGGAATGGTAAAAGGATTTTAATTGAAGACATCAGCAGACATTAAAGACAAATACTAATGGCAGATAAAGGATCAATACTGGCTTCCACACAATGTAATGTTAAGTGTGAAATTTGATTCTTATAGCATCATTTTAAAGCATACACCAAAAGTGCAAATTTTTATAGAATGTCTTTGGAAACTTAGTATCAAGTATTAACACTTCAAAGGTTTTTCTGAATTGAAAGGCTTAGGATTGTATTATTTCTGCAAAAGTAAAGACCCTTTTTCTATGTCATTAAGATTTCACAATGAGAAAGTTAAATGTTCTGACCTTGATTAGTGTACATTTCAGGACGTCTCAGTTTTTTCCACCAAGGTTATTAGAATGCTTTTCTGGCTTCTAAAAACCTTGTTGTGCATTAAAATTTTCAGAATATAAATTGAGGAACACTCCATCATATGTGGCAGCCTGTCAGCACTAAGGAAAACCAAATTAGTAAGTTAATTTGCTTTTCAAGCTCAACAAAATGAGAGCTGTCCTTAGCCTGAAACGCCCTGGTGTACAGATAAGTAAATTTAAAATCCATCTAAATCTTAATAGAGGAAGTGGAAAAAGTCATACGCATTATCAGTTGTTTTACAATCCTATTCCAGCATACTGAAATACTTTTTGTTATGTTTAGCATAGATCAGCTAAAAGAATAAACATTAAAGGAAGAATCAGTCTGATTTACTTTACTTGAGAACATGAAATATTTTTTTTGCTTTTCATCAGTGAAAATTTAAAAACAGGCAAATCTTGTTTTAAAACATGCCATTTATTTTGTGCCCAGTTACCTTGTTTGGCTGCACTGTTCTTTTCAGGTTTTCCATCCACTTGTCCCTCTCAGCAGCTGAAGAACAGCTAAAACACTTGCTCCCACCTGAATAGGTTACCTACATATAAGACAGATGCAAAATGAGCAAGTGGATCTAAACGCCAGTAAAGTATCGAAAATTACAGTAATTTTTAGGCTTAGGTGGTGTCATGGTCTTAAGAGAACAGTAATACCCTTAAAACACTTTTGCAAGCAATTCATGTCTTTATTACCATTTAAGGTCACCCTGTTTTGCATAACTGGTTGCTTTTGCTAATGATTAACAGCAGAGTCTAAGAAAATGGTGCATTTAGAACTTAGGCCTCAAAAAATATGAAGTGATGGCAACGGAAAATCAGAAAGAGAGAAAAGGTTACTAAAATGATTGTTATACACATTATGCCAAGTCTGACATCACTTACAAAAACACACCGTAAGCTGCCTAGGTTAAGGCGTCAGCTAAATAAACCGATAACAGTCATCACCTCGAAGCAGAACTCTTGTCCCAGAATGCTGCTATGGAGAGGTTTGATCAAGACGTCTTCCTCCATTCCTAGCTCAAGGGCTTCGACGGCACTGCCTGGGCTCAGCAGAGACTCATGGGAACGGGACTCCTTCAGCTTGGGAAGGCCACGGGACCTAGAGCACAAACACACACTCTGTAAACTCCCTCTTCTTCATAACACTTCACACTTCATCTTCCATCTCCCTCATGGCAGTCGATCTACAGAACCAGAGCATCTTGCCATTAAGGGAATGAGCTGATAAAGCATATTAAAGGCTTCAGAAAGAACCTGGCCACAATCAGGATGTTTTTTCTGGGCTACAGCTATTAAACCTAGAAATAACATTTAAAAAATTAAATCTTTTAAAGTCCAGGATGTATGCAAATATGTATGCAAATTCATTACATCTGACCTACAGTAGTTTCTTGTTATATTGTTGTCATTAGGTCTACAAATTTGAGTAAAAACTCAAGAGAGATTTCAGGCCTAAAGTATCATAGAATAATATAAATTAGGTCAAATCAAAAGCAAATGACATTTAGGATGTAGAACTTTGTTCTCATTTTCTCAGACTGGCTGATAGCTTAGTTAATGCAAATTCATCAAGTAGTGTCATACAAAATGTCCTAAAAAGCTGCATAAGTACTCAAAACATAATCAAACAAGTCCTAAAAGATTTATAAATACTGTAAACTACTCAAAACTACCATGAAAATGTTCTCTGACATAACTGCAAGAAAGAAACACTTATAACATTCTTGTTCTGATAAATAGAAACTGGGAAGCAAGAAGATTTAGTAACAATGCCATTGGAGAGGAACATTTCAAATTATCAACAAATTATTGATGTACAACATAAGTAGGCGTAGGATTAAAGTAAAAATTAATGGCTAATTGTCTTTTCAGCAGAATGAGATACATACGTGAAACACTTAAATAGCCACTTCACAGAGCATCCCCAGAGCATAGCGATATTTCATCCCCTGTATAATAAAGGTACTTTTCCTCTCTTTCGGTGCAATGCCTTGTTTCTTATGGTGTCAGTCTTCCACAGAGTATCACTACATCTTTCTTCTTTTACAATGACAGCAACAACAGTAAAAAATCTACACTACTGACTCAGTTTTCTTCTGAATCTCATCAGGAGCACCTCTGCTTCAGTTTACAGGTAACATAAATAAACAAGGGCCTAGCCTGGCCTACCAACCTCCCACCTGAGGCTGTTACCATAGCAGTGGACCTACAAGGAGATTAGATTCTCAAGGCAGATGGGACTAGAGCTACAGATGTATTTACAGATGCTTTTTGTAAACTTCTGCCATGTCTCTTAACTTTGTAAAACAATTATTCACTTTGGGATAGGGAACTTAAAACATTTAGGAGAAGCTATGAAATGTTTTCGAATATAATAAAATAGGCTGTAAATACTTAAATATCCAACTCAGTTGGAAAAAAATCTGTTTGCATTCTCAAATACACTTACATCAATGAATAATAAATTGTGAACACTGTCAGACTGAGGCAGCATTACTCACAAGTGATGTCTTATTCATAAAGAATAAAAGTGTGGCCACTGATGGTGACTTATTCATGATACACTTCAAGTAGTCAGGCCTTAAGTCTATTTAGATTGAAAAATGTGTATTAATTTAGGTTATACAGTATCTTGAAAAACAATTCAGCTAAAGTTGCAGAACTGAATAAGATTACAATATCATCAAATTCACTTTTATAATGCGAGTCTTATAATGGGACAGCTGTCTAAAGGCATAATCTTAGACCTTGCTGTTCTATGGGGAAACACAGGTTAAAAGCTAGAAAGGAACAAACGTATATATAAAACAACGTTTCGGCAATGGAGCATTCTTCAGGTGTGAGCCTGAAGAAGGCTCCACGGCTGAAACGTTGTATTTACTTTCTTCTCTTTTCAGCATGGAATAAACCTATTACTTGTTCCTTTGAAGCCTACACATGCTGACACAGCTACCAACCTGAACTATATAAGGTGTGTACTTCCGAGTTCCAGACTATTGCAGTTCTCACACATACAGTACACTCATCTATTTTTATACTTCCCAACTCACCTTTCTCACCTGCAACACTTACGGTCCCATTACCAACCCTACTTTGAGAAGCTGTATTTTCAGGAAATTTAAAGTGAATGATTGGTGCCTTTTTGGCATTCATTCTTCTGGTGTAGTGTGCGGTGTGATGTGCAGTTTTGCCAAATGCCTGGAGCACACTAGTGGCATGCCTTTTTCAAACTACTATATGCCGTTTAAAAGGAATGGTTTATTATCAAACTATTTTCTGCCACCCCCCACGCACAGATACAGTACACTGTTTTTCAGATTGCTAGCTGTCCCTCAGATTCATCCTCCCTGACAGAAGATTACCATCTCTCTCTTCCTGCCACAGATGGGATTAGATAAGCAAACAGCACTGAGGGTCCATGTAGAAAATGTAATCTGCAAAATCCTGGATTATCAGGCCACCTAGGGATACTCTCGACTTCTTCAGCCCAGCTCCGGACGGTTCATCCATTATAGATAAATCCGTCAGGCCTCCAAGACATAAAACACAAACATTCTGACAAAAGCTTTCCCTTTTGTACTGAAAATCTTACAAGCTTTAGCAAAATGCTATATTACTGTATCAGAACCATTACAATATTTGAAGTGACCACTTGCTGGATGAGATTAGTGTCAGGTTCTTTATATTTTTTTACTATTTCTACTGTCATGTTGAAGCTCACACAAACATTCTCATTAGTGACACAAACAAAAAGACTAGAAAGGTTCAGATAAATTTGACTTCATCCATCATCTTAGAAACATGAGGTAAATGTTGCACTTATTTTTCACTTGCACGTGAAGCACAAAAAACAGACAAAACAAACGTAAAAACAATGTTATTTCTATTAAGACATTCACGCAAAATAAAGAGCTACTTCTGATATCGACGAGCCAGGAAATTCATTTCTCTCCCTAACTGCCCTGGATATTTGTCTGTCTGAAATGCTCAGCCACATCTACCACAGACAACATGTGCACCTCAAGCTGTTACCTTTCAAAACAAAACTGTACTTTTTCAGACTTGCTTTGTAACCATACCTTTGTGCGTGAACATTGCCACATTCTTTATGTAGGTCTTTTTTTCTCCAAAAAGATACTTATTAGAGGGAGACCAGCATTACATGAGACATGGCAAAACCTGCACTCGGCTGCAATTGAAAGAAACAGATGTGGCTACTGTAGGACCACAGTGCCTGTATGATCGCTCAAGCAATTGGCTAAACACAAATGCAGCACAAGTGCCAAATGGGAAACCTGGCATTAAGCAATCATGTAGATGGGATTAGTCCATCACTGCACTGATTCCTCAAGGTCAGGAATGAGCCACGATAACTGGAAATCAAGAGTCTGTAGAGATGACATTCATTTAACTATTGCAGCCATAAAAGTAAAATGACAGAATGGAAAATTAAGTCCCGTTCATTGTCTGAATTTGAAATGAACAAGAAAACTACTTAAATATTTTATTTTTTAGCCAACATAAAAAAATCATAAAGTACTTCAAGCTTATTAGCTAAATGCTCTTGAGCAATATAAACATTTTATCTAAAAGCTAAACCATGTCTTACAGCACAATGGACCAGAGGGCAGCACCAAAGACTTAATAGCTAAACAACATAATGTACATTAAACTCTCTCGGAACATTCTGTTACTCTGCTAATCAAATCACAGAAAACTCTCTCCTCATTATCTATTCACTGAAATCTGAGCATGGTCCTTATTTTCCTGACAGCTTTCTAGTAAATTAATAATATATTCCCATATAAAACATAGCAGAAAATCAGTCTCCAGATATTGAAAAAGTTCCTTGTTTTTAATTTACTAAGAACATAAGAAACCTTGCAAATGAAAGGTTATTCAGTCCACCTAGGTTAATATACATTGTTTTAAAACACATAAAATATTTGCTTGAATATTTGCCACTATTGTAACCACCTTCTGTATCTTATTTAAGAGAATAAAAACAGAAACAATACATTGCATGATAATTTATTTCTCAGAATTGTCCTTTTCTTTAGACAGGCCTAGCATTCTACAGAACCCTAGTCAGGTTATTGCTGCCAGCGCATGTAGCTGCTTTCAATTTAAGCTGAAAAAGCTAAAGAAATAGAAAGATGACTACTTTTCCACCTGAAAATCTAAAGGTGTTACAGAGATTACAAACATGACTTTGTCAGTGAATTGCTGATTTACACAAGCAGCAAGCAAGCCGTGTGCTGACCAGTTCTTCAAGGTGTGGCTTCCATATTTTGCCAAACTAAGACATCTCTGGCAGACACTGGATACATATTTTTGGCTGGATGTCAATTTAAAAAAAAAATGCCTGTGGTTTCTGAAACATGTGATATTAGATTTAACAGAAAATACTTAAAGAAAAACAGAAAATATAAACCACAGAACAAAAAAAATTCTGCGCACATACAGTATACACCTGAAAAGAAACCTTGGCTCAGACCTACCTGAAGCGCAGGGATCTTGATAAGTAGTTGACGCGAGTCCTTTTTACAATGAGTGTGGAAGCCATAGTTAATATTCCTCATTTAACAGCCGATGCTTTCTTTGACCCTTTATGGAGCAAAGACCATGCCCACAACAAAGACTCACGTTCACTCACACGCACAGCATGATCCCTACTCTCCCATAATACCTTAAAACCCACTTTCACTAAATCGCAAGGACCTCCGCGTGGTGGTTAAGCTCAGGGGAGTAATGCCAGTCACTACAACGCAGATGTCTAAGGCTTGTTCAGTGCTATACAGCAGGAGCAAGCACTTGGCTGCTTTGTAGAACACATTACTGCTGTCCACAGCAAGACCCACCCACTGATGTGAGCCTGGCTGGACACTACCCAGAATCCAGCAGACAAGCGACAGAACAGAAACAAAAGTAAAAACACAACGACTGTGGAGGCTTACAAAAGAATGAGGCCATTCGAACCAAAGGGAAAGCTCGAAAGACTGCTGGTATCTATATGAAATGCAGCCCATTAAAATGATACTGGTCAGCGTTAGAACTTAAACAGGTAACTTTGCCTATTTCATTTCAAACAATATCTAATATTTTATTTAACGGGTGATCATCAAACCAGTTCCCTAAAAAAAAAACAATGAAATAACTTATTTTTGTTGTTAGTTCGTTCTATTTCTTCAGTCATTCCAAAACATTTTGTTTCATTTTTGAACATCATGCAATACTTGTCTGACTTTATGCAGTACATGCTTTTAATGTATACAACAGCTTAAACTCTGAACAGTCGGAAAAAGTCTGCCAAGCGTAATCTTAGGGATTCCTGCAAAACAAAAGTGCTTAATGCTCCATCCAGTCATTAACTTCGCAGTAAAGAATCAGCATGGCTTACAGTAATGCTATTATCAACCAACTCGCAGTTTATTCCAGGAATCGATACAAAATCTCGGTTCTGCTTAAAGATCAAACAGCTGTTAAGTGAAACGGAGAAATTGCACAATAAGTTGCTTCCAAAAAAGAAACCCGAACCTCACAAAACACACATTACTACTATTTTTATAGATTTTACATATTTGCTGATTCTGAAACCATGGCAATAGAGAGCAATTTTGCAAACGTCTTCCTGAGTTTTTATATTTAAGCAGTAGAAAAAATCTACATGACTCGTTTCTACACTCTGACCTAAGCAGGTAAATCAAGAGCTCACTTACAGTACCATGCTGTCCTCTATACTGAATTCTGTGAGTGGTTTAGTCTGTTGTCTCAGGTTTCATATCCTAAGGTAGGGCTGGTATTGTGAACTGAGAAGGGACAGACTGGGTGGAGCCAGATGACATTAACCAAGGGTGTTGCTTGTGAAAATTATTTTCCAAGCACACACTTGGAAAAGCTAGAAGATATAGGAGGTAAACTACAGAATATTTCTATTTAATATCTTTAAGATATTTGTGACTCTTCAGCTATAATTAAGAATAATTCAGTTTACTGGCCGTAACAATGATAACGACAAAGACTTTCAATGGCATTTGGAGGATTATGAAACCAGTTTTTGCCAGTGAAGCATTTACAATTCAGAAATCATCCAAAAATGTAAGATGACTATTTTATGTTTTAGTATTTGTCAAGGTTATCTTACAATTACATGTATAGAAATATCTATACAATATAAAGCCTAGTTCTTCCAGCACATCTGTCCATTTTTCTATCTGGAGGTTTAAGCAAATATTTTCAGGTGAAAATAATGTGTTTTCCACAAGGTGGAGCTCAAGAGTGTCCAATGGGCTATGTACTGAGATCAGTTCATTATGGTTTCACCCAATGTTGAATTAAATACATCAGCTGATGAAGCAGTTCGTAACACATTCAGATTTCTAGAATTTAGAGCCCAGTGCAAAATTTGCAACCCAGTGATCATTTTATGATCACTTATTTTTGTGATTTTAGGTAATGTTTTTGTTAATTAGTTGAAAAAAGCTTAAAGGGAAAAGAAGGAACTTTGTCTAATTTCCAGTTCCAGCTGTCTGAAGAACTATTTTCATAAAACCACTTGAAAATGATTAACGTTTAACCCTTGTTTATATTTATTACTGATAAGATTCCTCCAAAACATATCACAATACAGAAGAGAGCTGCTTTATATCCTTGAGAGAGACTTTCACCAATAGTGGCATCACAGTGAAGATGCCCGCTGAGTGAGGTGACCATTTGCCACGTGCTAAGGTCCGAGTAACGCATCCTGAAAACAATCAGACAGCAGATGAGCAGCAGAATCCCACCTGTCATTCTCAGCCAGTCGCAGGGAAGGGAGCCGAAAACTGGTGTTCCGATCCAGTTTAGTCTGACTCTTCGTCCTCTTAATTGAGCCTTTCAGTCGTTTGCTGAGAAAACCCTAGGGAATGAGAAAAGAAAAAGGAGTCTGATGGGACCGACACTGCAGGTGCTAGCGAAGCTAATTTAAGGGATAAAATGTGGTTCTGTGACAGAAGAGTGAAAACGATCTGCAAATAAAAGGTAATTCTGAAGACAAAGCCTCACTATTGGTCTTGAGGAAGGGCTCTGTGGAGCTTGTAAAATCAATCATTAAAATTCTAAAAGAATCAGACTATTATACTTTCAATATTTCACTTCAGAATGCTCCTATGCATATCACACAGCAGTAGTAAACAGAGAAATACATTGCTTTTTCAATTTTGTATTGCACTGAGGGGAACCAAGAATATATTTGAAGCTGCAGTGAATGTAACAGTAAATTGTTAAAAGAAAAATAATGTATGCTGTGGGAATTAAGGTAGGTTTAAAAGTACTGACTGGTCTTTGATTACCATGACTAAACCACTTTGGTGATGCAAGACTCTTACACAGAGAAAAACTGGATTATGAGGATAAACACAGAGGTCTATTTACTAGAAACCTGTCTGTGTTGGGGAGGAGTAAACTCAAGAACTCATTCAAAACGCAGGGTTACTTTAACATCTCAAGCCTATTGCCCTAGCACCCTGCAAAATAGAAATACTGTTTATCTGAATGAAGAGCTTCCTGGGAATCTGACATCTCAGGTATTGAACTGAAACTCCCATGAAAACAATGCAGTGTTCATCATAAAACCCAAAAGACACAAATACCAAAGGGAGTTGCTCAAGATCTGAGGAAGATCTTGTGGGTTACAACATGGGCAACAAGTACAAATGATGCCGTACCTAAAATATTCAAAATATTTCATTATTCAGCAATGTTATGTGGCTCCAGTATTAGAAACAACAAAAACAAAGGGAGTGCTGCAATCTTGAGAAAAACAAGTTTAACAAGCATTTTGGAATCAACACAGCCCACAGTTACAGTACAATGGACTCAATCTCAAGACGTAAATCGCAGACCCTTTCTCTGTGATGCAATAAAGTAATTGTTTTTGTAAAAACTCAATGGTGCACCCTCGATGGCAAATAAGATCAGTCACCTTTTCAAAGATGACTACACATTTGTTTTTAACAATGCTCAAAGCTGGATACAAAATAAAAGCACAAACAAGTTAGTTCAGAGTTCGTAAAATAAGTTAGTTCAGAGGAGCTCCAAGTTGTATACAATGCTGGACCAGAACCTCCTTAAAAACCATGAGAAAATCAAGGTTTTCACTCAGTTATTCTCTTCAAACAAATACTACAATGCAAAATTATTCTTTATTTTTGTGGAACTGATGTAAATTTTTCACAGGAAGTTATAATAGCCCAATCAAGCCTTGAATTAAAGAGATACCTTGGTCAGTGGTATTTGATTGACAATGACTGGTATTAAAGGCACTGTTAATTCTGAGATTAATTCCATTAATAGCTGATAATATGTACTTTATTAAGCACCCTAGAGTTGTACCAGAATGCACTTCACACTCATCATACTTCACTAATTTATAAAACTATTTCCCTGAAAACTAGTTTATGTTCTTAATTCATAGTGGGGAAAAAACATTAACATTTCACAATCTCTGAACATCTAGAATATCACATTCCTGTATGATGTAAAGAACTCAGGTCTTCATAATGGGAGTTAGGTTCTATTAGCATAAAATTAAACATTTATTCAACTGGAACACTTATCACAGGGAGAACTGACAGTTCCAAAATCTGCTGCAGGTAGTTCATGCACTTGTCTACCAGTTCTTCTATGCATGAGTTAGAAGTGTTAATTCACTGTAAAAACGCTCGCCTTTGGCCATTCATACATATGTAAAAGTACAATAGACCCAGATTCAATGTCAACAAGTCAGTGTCTTCTCCTGGTTGTTAAATAATGTTAAATTCTATTGCATGCAATTTCATCATCTGCTTGGCCACACTTAATGCTGATTAATTAGGCTGCCCATGAATTCGATACCTACTGAACTTTATGTCTGACTTCATTATTGATTAACAGAAACTCCTAATTATTTTGAAGAAATGTATTATAACTAATGTTTTTTGCAACATCGGACGTTATGCAAACACAGCTGCTCTGCCTAGGCCAGACTTACAGCATGAGTGGTATAGTACGTTTTATAACATCTGGAGGCAAAAACAATTAAAAGAAAATGTCAATCATTGCCACTATGGGATATGGAAATCAAATAATCACAAGGAAATATTTATAATCAGAGTGTATTGAAAGCTTTCAAACCTACACCGCAGGTAAAGTCAGCCAGGTCTTCTGATGTGCCTAGAAGGCACCGATTGTTTTCAGAGTCACAAAATGCTTTTCTGCAAGGGACATCTGTCTGGGTATTTGTTTCTGTACCATTTGTGATTCCTTGTTAATGTAACTGAACTATTTAATGTACTGATTGGTTGATTAGTATAGATTAGTTGGAAATCACTCCATTAAACCACAGAAAATCTAAAAACATGCCTGTAAATCCCAAACATCCTCAGTGAATTTTAGTTATTTTGTGGGAGGTGTTGGGACACACGTTACACACAGTAATTATGCTTATGGTCAAAATGTAAACACAAAGCTCTTTACACAAGGCTCTGTAAACATTAATCTGATTGGACACTAAAGACATCGCAAACAGTTATCCTGATTAACGTATGTCATGTTAGCCTGTTGAATTCAAAATGCGATGCATGTAATCTTGTTTGGAGACATGCGTACAGAAAAGCATGCTAATGAACCCTAAAAATAGAACCGATATTTATAATGCCATGCTACCCGTTTTAATACAGAATTACTGTTTATTGATAAGATTGGAAGGCTAATAATTACTTGTGAATCATTTTTATGGCTAATGCTATACAAGAGAGAAAAGAAGGCATGTCATTTTTCAAATAAAAAGTGAAATGTATTACACGGTGAAATGACTTCTTTGGTTTTCAGCCGAAAAGGGACAGAAGTGAAGGTGCTTCAGCTACAATTTTCACATTGGGTGGAGTGAAAGAATGCCATAGCTCTTATCCTGTAACCCCCAAACAGTCTGTACCTCTTGCAGTTATGTGACATGCAGTGAAATGGTTAAGTAGAAGGTGGAGATTCAAAATCAAAACAGGCCATTTGAATCTCAGTCCTACTGTAGAAAAAACTAAAGCTTTAAAAAAAACACATTTAAATGATTAGTGTGAGAGCACACTTATTCTAATGCGTTTTGTCTTTTTTACCCTGGAGAATTGAGTAGGTCATCTGTTCCACAGAGCTACAATTTGCAATAGTGTCCAGTTCGCGATTAGGAAGAGACACACTGCAAGTCTGTTTCAGATTAGGCCCTAGCCCCTCTGAACATTTGAGAACAAATCCCCCAAATGGTCTGATGCTGTGAAAATGATTTCTTCCAGGTGAAGGCAAACACTTTTTCTATGCAACAGAAATAAACAAATATTTTAAAAATGGTCACATCAATAAAAACATAACCATACACACGCAATTCAGCCCTCAGATCTGATTACGTAACAAATGATATGGGATCTTTATTTTTCCATTCTTGAATCAGTTTAAATGGAAGACCTGTTTCTTAATGGATATTAACTAAAACCAGGTTTAAATGAGCCTATTTTAAAAAAAAACCTTATAAAGCATAGTATGCGTCAGTTACATACTCAAACTTTAAATACATTGATAAGAACTACAGCATTAAAACCGTCCTAAAAGGCTTTTTCTTAAACTCTTTAGAAATGCTGCTGTCCTTGGGCCAAGAGAAAGACGACATTCAAAGGTTATGTAGCCCAGCTAGGGGCTAGCTGAACATAGCTGATATCCGGATTCACAATAGTGCAATAGTAATCTGTGAGGCAATGTGGGATGTCATATGACACTGGACATTTTAAACACTCCTGAAGCCAACTTCCTGCTAGCAAGACTGGCAAAAAATGCAGGTTTGCACTTTAGAAATGTGCAGAACAATCTGCGTACTTTTCAGATGTAAACTACCAGGATTTAAACTTTATTCTTGATATTCACTCATTTTCTCTGTTCAAGTTTACGGAACAAAAAATTCTAAACAAAATCTTGTATATTTTTTACACAGTCTCTTCAGTCAAAATGCTAAACTCTATATTCTAACAATTTGTTTACCTTTTTTAATGCATTGTCAAATTGTCAAGAAGTTGTAAATGATGTATCAACATTAACACCTATGTCTTTTTCTTAAGTAGCCTCTTCAAGTTGAGCATTTCCCACTTGGTATTTATATTGTATGCATTTACTAGTAGCATTTAGCTCTCTGTACTTGTTTATACTATATGTCATCTGCCAGGTGTCTGCCCGGTCTGGAACTTCTTCTTAATCATTCTGAATTTCCTTTGCAGATTCTAACATGTTAATCCTCCTGTTTTTAGATCAACTGCAGCTTTATACTGTAAGTATAGCAGAACCTTTGTGATTGATAAAAATTAATAAGAACAGGTAATAATACAGATCTGTGTGGTACTCCACTAATTAGCCAGTGCCTTTTGCACCATAATTAACAAATGCATTGAATTTGAATATTATCACTATCCAGCTTTGGAGCATTATGCCATAAGAAGCACTTTACTAAACGGCTCATTCTGGATTGTGAACTATTATGTGGTTGGGCTCTTTTTCCTGTGCTTTTTAATGCATTGCCCCTGTGCATTCCCAATTTGTCCAGCAGGACACATTTTGGGTGGAAATAAATCTTAAAATACAAATCTAATAAATCAAGACTAAAAAGACATCATGAGCAGTCAACCCATTATCTGGGCACATGGAAGAAGACAGAAACGCAGCACTCCCAATGTTTAATAATGACAAATCAGACATACTGGAACTTTGAAAGGGGAGGAGTTCGGCCCATCCATAGAGCTGTTTTTCTCAGTGCTTCCAACTCCCGATATACTCCTCCTTCTTGGTGACCTCTCAGCAGACACTTCTGTAAAAAAGGCAGAGAGAGGAAGAGACAAATCAACTAGTGGAAATCGAATGCTGCCTTCATTTCTTGTAACTTCGGCAAAAGGCCGGGCTAATTTTTGTGCACAAAAAAAATGAGAATCACACAATCGCTTCTCTTAGCATCATGCCTCACTCGGTGTAAAACTAGAGCAGATTTTTTTTATAGTATGTTTCACTTGGACCAACATTTTAAGTATTTTAACTATTTTTCTCTTAGGAATGCTAAAAGATGACAGAGGTAGTTTTCTTCCCAGCTTTAAGGAGACATGACATGCAGGTTTTGTGGCTGCCGTCTGCCATGGTACAGAGAATTAACCTATTACCGAAAAATAACACCTATGGGCTACACTCCTCAACATGAAAATGGAATATTCTAGATTCAAATTTATATTTGGTCAAAGGAAGAAGTGGCCTATATTGCTCTGCTGTTTTCACTCTTTTATTACACAGCGGATTCTCTTAAAGGCTGGTGGCAGTCCAAGGTGTTTATGAAGTAGCACACAGTATGACAGCAGGTGCATCAAATATTTTAGATTCAATCTTTCCAACTCGGCGCACAGCCGACAATACTTCAGCCCCTGGCACTGAGGGACCACCAATGTAGTGCTCAATAAGACAAGAATTCGCTCACTGCTGCAACTAAATCTTAAGCCTCCCTCGGGGTCCGCCAACAAAAGAGAGACGGTACAGAGATATAGCCAGTGCCAATCAGAGTGTCTTCTGGGTAATTCTCCCCCCTTTTCAGAAGGAACGGGGCGAAGGCTTTTGTTCTGCAGTTCGCTGGAATTTACAGATGCACCAAAACAGTCATCAGAAGAAAAACAACTTGAAAAGAATTGTTTGTGGAAGATTTTCTTTCAATCCCCCCTCCCCCACAAAAGCTAACTAAAGATGAAAGGATCAATACCCCATAGCTAATAAGTCCCACCGAAATGCATTCAACCCACCAGATGGACCCTTGCTGATCAGTGTGTTGCAAGCAAAAATAGCCCTTAGCCACCCTGTATGCCTACTGCCCTTTGGGCTTTGTGGAACTGTACCACACGAGAAACCTCACTGTTTTCTGGAGACCTATATTAGAAGCGATGCTCAATCTGACATGATGATGAGGTGGGGGTCTTAAAAGAAAACGGACGCTAAAAGCATATCACAATAAAAAGTTCAGATTCCTGCTTACAAAAAAAAAATCACAAATTCCAAATCATGAATGAAGTGTAAGAAAGATGCACGCTTTCATTAAGATGCCCATCGTTGGCTTTTCACCTGTTGAGACCACACGTAATTTAGACCTCTCTGAGGACTGTACACCTCAAAGTAAAGAAACACCCTTACTGCCCAACGCCAACCTGGGATTTTGAAAATGCCGCGCAGGATTGAGGGATTCATCTTATGTTTGGATGCTGTGCAGAATACCCGAGTCTGAACCCAGGTGAATGGACAGAAAAACTGAGCACATGTTTTAAGTATCAAGCATTTCAAGAGTGAGGAGCTGTTCAGTTCAATCATGCTATCCTGGTCTCTAGATCTCTAGCTCATACACATTTTGATCTGTACAGAATGGGATTTCCCCATACCTCTTTGTTTTAATAACAGCTAACCAAACACAATATTATGAGCAATTTGACACTAGCCTTTAGCTCTTAATAAGGGAATGCTTTAGTGGCCTATAGAGAGTGACAACCTTCCCTCTGGAACACTGCCCAGATTGAAGCAGTGTTTAGCCTGCAGTATTCCTCCAATGACAGAGACCTCTAACTTCTCCTGACGGAGTCAGTGACCTACAGACACATCAGTGAAGTGACTGCAGCATACAGAGGACTCCTGTCTGTCGTGTAAGCAAAGCACATGAGTATCGGCTTCAAATTCAAAGAAGTCAAACGCGAATAACAGCTGGCAAACAGAAGAAATGTGATTTGTGCCTTAACTTGGATGTCATGAAGCATATAAATCTTTCATATGAAAACGTGATGCTGAGATTTAAGAATAAACTTCGCCACAGCTTAACTGTGTTTTGTTACATACATTTTGTATTTCATCCAATGACAATACTGTTTGCTGATCTAATGAAAGTTATACACTAGTCTACTTTCTGCAATACATCTTATGAACTCTCAACATTATGCACCAAAAGCATTGGGAATTTGGAGACTATTATATGCATAAGTGAAACATTGTTATCCTGGTAATATTGATACAGTGCACAACAAAAGAATGCATTTGAAAAGACAACTTAAATGAAACTAAAAATACTGTAGTTACCTTAGCCAGACTCTTGCCAGAAGGTTTTTAAAAATTACACATGCTTGACAAAAGTAATAGTTTGCAAAATTACGACAACACGTAGATTCACATCCACACTCAGAAATGGAACCTCCTAAAGTACAGGATAACACTCCCCAAAATGTTATTTTCCCATGCAGAATGTTCAATATAAATACTGTATTATTCTCATGAGCCCCTGAGATGACATCCCTTAGTATAACATGTGAGAAACAAAAAACAGCCCACAACAACCTTCTGGCTCCAGATGTTTCAAGTGCACTGGATTAATTAACACAGAGGCTTCAACATCACAGTTAATAAGACAGTAAAAAGCACAATATAAAGATAAAACTTCTATACCTCTATCACAGCTGTTCCCCATCATTTGAAGAATGTCATATGGGCTGTCCAATTCACCTCTGGATTGGCCGAACACAGATCATTAGCCAATCAGTAAAGTGTACTACTTCCGAGTAGTGACCACTGCCTACGCACCAGATTTCTCCTCTCCATGTCTGAGTAGTTGAACTACGTCTTTGCAATTAATTTCCTTCGTACAGGCTTCTTCCTTGCAGACTCTCTCTCTTTCTCTCTCTCAGCTTCCGTCCTAACCTTCACTTTATCACAGTCCTAGATTTTGGCTGTCAGAGGAAGAGATTTTACCGCAGTTATTCAATCAATCGCTGTAACTGCACTACTCCGTTTCTCTCCACCTAATACCGAGCAGCTTCAGCAGTAACTCCTGCTCTGTCTGCCTGCTGCACCTCTGGGACAATGCGATGAAAAGATTTCTGAGGCAGTGACAGACGAGCATTAGGAGAAATTTATACCTGTACTTAACTGATAATCCAAAGATTCTTTAAACGGTTCTCTGGCACGACCTTAATCCTGAACACCTAATCACATTCCGTTTCATTTTCCGAAAAGCTGGGAACATTGGCACATTTTTTTACAGGGACTCCAGGTCTCTGTCCGGGAGTCAGTGCTGCACAGTCCCCTGACGAGGGCTACAGTGAGTGTAAGTACTGTGTTAACTAATCAGCTTTTCAGCTACAATCAATTTGAACCTTCCAAAGTCATGCTTATGTGATGGTTTAACACTGATGATATCGTCAGTTCAAATACCAAAGAGTTAAAATAATATCTTAACACATTTCTGCTCTTTATTCGATTACCGAGTATAAAGTGAGTAAACACTCTATGCTTCAGATGTATGAAGTTTAGTCATTTAAAGCAGGTTTTCACATTGAAATAAAAAATAAACCTCTAACCAGTTACTCCAGTGATACTGTTAGTTCAAATATTATACTTCTAATACACATTTCACACTGAAAATAAATGTAAAAATTACAAATGTGCGGCACTTTATTAATAATCCTTATAACTTTTTCAAACATTCTGAAAATTCTTAATAAATGCAAAAAGTTCAAAAAGCAAATGGAACCCACATATTATGGTTTTCAAGTATGACACAAGAAGACACACAGGTAGTCCCAGAGCATTTCCTGCAAATGATAAGTCACCTTACAGTAAACTCAACAGTCCTCAATGTCTGGCATTGTGTGGCAAACTGAGTTTTTGCACGTTCGCAAAGAAAACAGTCAAAGATCTGCCTTTTCCGAAATGAGCATGTTGCTATCCACCATTGATTTTTATCAGTGGGGAATGTGATGCTTCTTCCTGACTTGGAGTATTCAATTACAACCAAGTTCTGCCGTCCCTCAAAACGCCATTAAATATCTCAAACCACCTGCACGCTAAACATACTGTACAGACAAAGCTTGAAAGTGCCTATTAATAATAAAATCTACTGAAGATCTAAAACAATGTACTGCATCAGAACCTCACCGTATTTTCTACATGTTTAGGTACCTCTACCTTTGAACCTTAACCTGGAAAACAAGCTGGCAGAAGTAATAGGCAACCATTTTATGTGTCTATGTGCTTATATCGCTGTCTGAAGCACAACTGAGATGTTACAACACAACAATGGCTGGAGATGTTTAATGACACCGGAGACTGAAAAATAATGGTTTGGGATTTTATTCAGTAACAGAAATAGCTGCTGCATTCCGAATAATTTACGAAGTACCTGAACATGATCCTTCTGAAGGAATAACATTAATCTCCTTCACCCATCAGCCAGTTATTATACTCATATTCAGATGCTTTTTCAAATCACAGGAACTGAAACGAGGTTCAGTTTACATTCTGCCCAGATAGTAGGTTCCTTTTACACTGCATCCTGCAAGACTGTTTCTTAAATAGGGCATGCATGTCTTTTATTGTTTCCACGATCCTCAGGATCTCACCTTTTCAAAGGGTACATAACATTTCTTCTTCCAGCCCTACTGTCCCAAAAAGCTGCAGGTCATGCTGATGCCGTGGGAGACACATACAACAATCAGAAACGAAACCCAGCAGTACAAATCAGATAGGATATGGCAGGCTTTTCAAATTAACAGCAAAGGCCCGCTCAGTTAACTTGTATCTACGCAGGCAGATTCATCAATTTCAGGGCAACTCCCGGTGGACAACACATTGATCCATTCCAATGGAAAAGAGCCGCTGGCTGCCAACTGCAGCATTACACTTATGCAGGAAACATTGGCTCATTAAAGAGTTCATACAGATGAGAAGATGCATTACTATTAAAATTAACTTATTCCACAAGGGCACGTGCATTAATACACATTCTATACACAAATACACAAACAA